TTCTTTTTGGAACATTCCCTTTACTGGGATGTAATGGCCCTGTTTGCCTCTTCTGATTCATTTTTGCTTGAAATCTATAGTCAGATATGAGAATGACTATTCCAGCTTGTTTTCAGAGTCCATATGTATGTAATATTTTTTTCCATCCTTTTACGTTCAGCCTGTGAATATTTTTATCTACCAGATGAGTCCCTTGCAAACAGTATTTTGATTCACTCAGTTAATCTATGTCTTTTCATTAACAAGTTGAGACCATTTAAATTCTGGATTATTATGAATATGTGTTTGTGGTTTGCTGCCATTTTGATCTGTTGTTGTAATTAATTCTGTCTTGCTTCTCATTTAGAAAATTTGTCTTCTATTGATCTTCATTTATTTGAGAATTTTAGAATTTGTTTTGGGTATGCTCGGTGCAATTTTTTCTTTGAGTATATTTTGTAGTGCTGGCATAGTTGTCATGCCTTCTTTTAGTCTTACCTCTTCATGGAAGGTTCTTAATTCCCCATCAAATATGAAAGAGAGCTTTTCTATGTACAGCAATATGGTTGGCAAATGTTTCCTTTAGAGTTTGAAATATCTCATTTGATGCCCTCCTTGATTTTGGGATCTGAGTTCAGAAGTCTGAAGTGAGCCTTATTGGTTTGCCCTTACATATGATCTGTTGTTTCTCTCTGGCAGTTTTTAATATTCTTTCCTTATTTTCCTAAGTTAGGCATTTTAATTCTGATGTGTCTTGGAAGACTTCTTTTCTGGTTAGGTCTATATGTGGTCCTGTACACCTCCTATATGTGGGTGCCTATCTCCTTTCTGATAGTTTTCTGTGAGTTCCTCATTAAAAATGTTCTTAATGTTTTTATATTATATTTCCATGTTCTATTCTGCCCTAATGAATATATAATATTCATTATATATATATTATATTGTTTAGTAATAACTAAACAATATAATATATATTGTTCTTGTATATTCTGATAATGTTCTATTTTTCTCTTTTTTTGTATTCTGTGCACTCAAATTCTTGTATCCTGTCTTCAATGCCTGAGGTTCTATCTTCAAACACTAAAGTTCTATTTTCTATGCCATCTGATGTTTTGGTAATGCTTTCAAGTGAATTTTTAATTTGATTCATTGTGTCATCATTTTCAGGAATTCTGATAAATTTCCTTTTACTAAATCTATTTCTTTATTAAAATGGTCTTTTATCTCTTGAATTTGCTCTCAATTCATTCTTAAAATCTTCTTTTAGTTCATTGAACATTTTGATAATCAATTTTTTAATAAACTTTCTCTTTTAAACTTTCTTTTTTAATCTACTTTCATATCTGTGGTATCTTTTGTTGGGGGATTGTGCATTGCGGGGAGGCATAGTTTGACATTTTCTCATATTTTCTGAAGTCCTACTCTTGCACATTGAGGTGGTTTCCCCTTCCTCTTTTATGTGTGTCCTCATGTGCATATTTTTATTATAAGATTTCTGTTTGGAATATATAAGTAGATGTCTAGGTAAGGGATATAGGATTCCCCTCTACTTGTTCCTGGTTTGGGGATTGGGGTTTCTACTTCCCCAATTCTATAAGTTGAAGTAATATATATTTAGGCTCAGATAGGGCTGGACCAATTGTGGGGTGAGGTTTGCTGTTGCTTGTCTGACTTGTAAGTATTTCTTGGCAGCAGGGTCTCTACTCTGAAGTCCCAACGACTTCTGAGCCTCTCTTGGCTTGGGAACTAGGAATAGCACTAATGACAGTGACAGATGTATAAATGTTAAGATAATTGTTGGAGTCCTCTGACATCTGTAGCCCTAATTTACACCTATATAGAAATTGTGGGGGTCCACATTTAATACCAGTAGCAGCAATACAGGACTGTGAACTAGATTAGGCATTCAATATCAGATGTCTACTATGTCATATACTGTATTAATAATTACATTAATATGAATAGGGTGTGAATGCATAAACTATGTAATCCTCTTATTTAGTAGTTTCTTAGGTAATGAGAAAATAGAGTGAGAAGGCTGAATAATAAACAAGTGGGAGGGAAGTTATTAAATTTTTATGAATAAATATATATTTTCTTCAAACCTATCCATGTAGGGAGTATACACACACATACACACACAATCATGCATAATGGAAAAAAGTGAAAAACAATACAATATTAACTTTTTCTCCTTAAGAAAGATGAGACAAAAGTATATTTATATAATAATCAATCTTGTGCATATATACACATATAATGTCTGAGATAAGGACATTCTATTTCTACACATTGTTTTTTCCAGTTTCAAAGTAAAAAGCAAGGCTGTACAATGAAGTTTATTTTACAATTCCTATAAAATAAATAGAAAAGACAGAAACATAACAGATATTATTAATACTTGTTCAAAGATCAGAATTATATCTCTGAGAATCAACCTAAAACAAATTTTAGGATGTGAGTTATTAACTGTCCATCACAAAATTTCACCATGTAGAAAATAATTCAACTATTTTGTCTATTAGATATCCCCTAAACTAGAAGTAGATTTGTTCTCTTCTATTCCAACACATTCTTCTAGATTTCCACTTAGTTCTATAGCCACAAAAGCAACTTGATTATTTATAGCATCGGTGTTTCCATGAATGTCTAGAAAATGAAAGCTAGGCTAAATTATATTATTTAGCAAGATATATAAAAAAGAGATAAGAGGAGTTGTGCAATATTACACTAATATAGATTTTTTGTTTACATAGAAGAAAACTCAATATTAATGGACATAAATTATCTATCAATAAAATATGATTCACATTTTATTACCCATTAAGTAATTTGAATACAAAACCAAAGCCAAAAATTTCAATTTGAAATATGTAATAGAATACAAGAAAATATGTCAAAACGTAGGCATTGGTTATTTTTGTCTTCAGTATTAAACTAGGGGTGATTTTCTTTTTTCCCTCTTTAAACATCTCATGTTTTCTCCAAGTTTGTACATTATGAAAAGGTATGTTTATAATTATAGGTAAACATTTAATAAGCTTTATTAAAACATTATTGAAAAGGCTTAAGATTTTAGTTTTATCACTCACCTTTAAGAGTGTCCATGGTATCTATCAATTTAAGCTGATGTGTCTTCCCATCAGCTATAAGAAAAAATATGTTTTTAAACAGAAGCAATATGATATATGTAGTTAAACCAGAAGTACTACAACTTAAAATTATAAAAATTAGTATTAACACTATATCTTTTAAATTTTAATTGGCAAGGAAACATTTATTAATGTGTAAAATGATGTTTTGATATGTATATACAATGCAGAATGGTTAAATCAAGATGTTTAAGATATGCATTGACTCACAAACTGTGTAATGATGATGATGATAACACCTAAAATCTCCTCTCAGCAATTTTCAAGTATACAATACACTTTTTTTTGATAAACACAAGCATATAATGTTTACTTGAAATTCCAATTTATTAGAAATTTACCCTTCAATAGAACCTTTCCTCCTTAAAGACAATTTTAAAGACAATAAACAATTCAGGTGTCACTGCAGGAGGAACAAGGGATTCTCACTATGACGAGAACAGACTGGATTTGGATAAGAAGCATGGGGGCCTGGCATGGTGGCACAATCTTGTAATCTCAGCTGCTTGGGAGGCTGAGGCAGGAGGATCACAAGTTCAAAAGGAGCCTTAGCAACTTAGTGAGGCACTAAGCAACCTAGTGAGATCCTGTCTCTAAATTAAATACAAAAAGGGGCTAGGGATGATGCCCAGTGGGTAAGTGCCCCTGAATTCAAACCCTGGTACACACACAAAAAAAAATTCTGGGAAGGGGTATCAGCTTGGCTTACCACATTGTAATATCAGTACATGTCTCTGCTTACACCAAGCCTGTGGGAGAAGGAGCCAAAGGAGTCACAGGAGCAAATTCCCAGATTCTCTGGGCAGGGAAGAGAGCAGGGAGCTGGGCACTGTTATTAACTACAATCATGATAATGTACAACAGATTCCCTGAATTTATTTTATCTAACCAAAATTCTATATCCTTTGATCAACTTTCCATTCCTCCTACCCTCCAGTCTCTGGTAACCTCTGTTTAATCAACCAGCAACTGACCCAAATTATACTGAAGTGTAAAATACCAGAAAAAGAAATAAAATGAATTCCAAGAGAGCACAGAAAAATAACTGAATGGAGTAAGGAAGTCAGTAAATGATATGAATGAGAAATTCAATAAGGAGATAGAGATATTGAAAAAGAAACAAATCCTGGAAGCAAAAGACATAAAAAACAAAATGTTCAAATGAAAGTCTATTAATAGAATAGGACATGGCTGAAGACAGGATCTCAGGGCTGGAAGACAAAGTGGCCAGCCTGGAACACTAAGACAGCATTAAAGAAAAGAAAATGAGTAACCATCACCAGAATATTCAAGAACTCTAGGATAACATTTGGAGACCAAATTTAAGAATCACTGGAATTGGAAATGGTTTGTGATACAGATTAAAGGAATTGATAACTCTTCAGGGAAATAATAACAGAAAATTTTCCAGACCTTGAGAATGATATTGACATCCAGACAAAAGAAGCATTCAGGACCCCAAATAGAAAATATAAAAAAATAATCTCTCCATAACACATTAAAATTAAAATGCCTAACATACAGAAAAAGGCCACAAGAGAAAAATATCAAGTTAGATGCAAAAAATTACTTAATAAAATATTAACAAATCATGTTCAATATCATATTAAGAAGAGAATACATTATGACCAAGCTGGTTCTATATCAGAGATGCAAACATGATTTAACATATGTAAATTAAACAAATGTAATTCATGATATAAATACACTTGAGGACATGGACATCATGTAAAGGTCAAACAACAACAAAAAATCTCTCTGATCTTCATCTTCCCTTGACTATTGGTACAATTCCATGGGATACTGTTCACACATGAAAATATTCCTCTGAAGTTGTGCCATGAAGTGGTCCCAGTCAATATAATTGATGAATCAATGGCAAACCCATTTAATAAATATAAAAAAAGAAAAAATATATTTTCAGGCATTGATTTTAAATTAAGCATAGACAATAAATGCCAAAATGTGAAAAGTACATATTAGCATCTCCAAAAACTTTGAGGATTCACAAAACAATATTGCATTATAAATATCTTAAACAGAGGGGAGGAGAAAGGCTTTCCTTATTCTCTTCAATTTTATTAGCAGTTTCACTTTGCCACAACT